AATACAAACATTCTAACGCCAAATAATTAATAATTGTTCCCACTTTCCTTTGCTACAAAAGAGAAACTCTACGGGAAAACGCTTGAGGTTTTCGTGGCGCTTCGCGCGTTAACAAATTGTATTTGCCCGGTTGTTATGGATGATGTTGTAAGACGCCAGCTTAGGATGACCCTGTATCCCTGGAGAAATGGGCGGGTCCTTGAAATTTATTCCGAGCGAGGGGCAGAGGAACGGAATTCCTCGAAGTCCGTCGTGGTTTCCAGTGATCGAGCCGCACGATTTCACCGGCTAGCGCACGCTCGCTCGCGTGCGAGCCACGCATAAAAATGTGTCACGTCGAACCTAACGAGATCGCGCGCCGCGAATTTATCCCCGCGTCCTGGATATATCCGTCCTGTCCCCAGCCGTCACGTCCGCCTAAGGGAAACGCGTCACGTTCTGTATTAATATTTTTTTCATTCACAATACGCCGCCTAACGCTGGCTGATTCGGGACACGTGGGAAACAATTGAACCCCGATGCAAAAAGCGCGGATGAAATACACCGCGTTATTTAACCCTTTGCAGTCCAGTTTTCAGCTGGAAATACTCAACATCTCCCGATGAGACAGGAATTCTATTTTTTTAAACTAGTTCGAATCTTACCACGTGTTTTTATAACGATTCATACCACGATGTGACTCTCAGTTATGAGAATAAAAGGAGTGATTCAAATGTTATCGTCTTTGTTTATAGGGCCCAAATTTTAGAAGCTCAAAACAACTTTTGGAAATGCAATATGAAATAGTGAAAAAATTTAAGTTGAATGACTCAAAGTCACATCGTGGTCCGATTAGGGTTAAAACAGTTTAGTTGCTTGAATTGTAAACTAGATAAGTGTGTTAGCAACGGAAGTGCTGGACGAACCAATCGATTAATCCTCCGATTCTTTACAGAAACTATGAAAGCGCGTTTATTGGAATTTGCGATGACGTTTTAGTTTGATTGTTATTGTATCTCGCAGCGTTCTTTGAATAATTGTGCAATGAAAACCAGGCAAACGTCGTTTCGTTTGACCAGGTAATTCCAGCGTTAAATGATATTTATTATTTATGGGAGAGAAGGGAGGGGCGAAAAAAGAAGCACTGACAGTGCGAATAAATGATTACGGACGGAGTTGTTCCGACATCAATTTCGTTGGCCGTCGGCGACGTAAAAGCAATCGGCACTTTATTGAAAATCAAGTCACGAGTAAATGGAAATTGATACGGTCGGACAACGTTGATTTTGTTGTAAAATATCCGGAGCGAGATGTAATCGTTGGAAATTGAATTTCTTCCCAGCGGGGTCCGGGGCGAACTAGCGGCTCGTGTTTTCGAGAAATTCTATTTAAACTTCTAACGAGAGCAATATTATATTGTCGCAAAAGTTCTGATGCTGGTCGCGGAATGAAGTTACGCTTCATTACTCTAATATCGTTCTACCGCGTTCTTACTTCGATTTCACCGGACGATATTCGAAGATCGCGCGATTACGCGTCGCCGTTCGATAAGAACGAGCTCTCTCTCTCTCCGCGTTGATTGTAATGATGCTTATTACAAGGCAATTAATACACCGTCCAACAATTTTTGATGGAACCCCGGGATAAACTGCGTCGCCGACACAACAGCAAGTTTAATTAAAATTTTCCGCAACAGCGCTCAACTTGTTTAACCGTCGTAAAGGCGGTCCATCTCTCTCTTTTTTCGATAGAAAATAGAAACTCGGGGAACGCTTCGTTAATTATCCCGTCGAGTACTCGCTGCGATGAAAAAATTTCAAACGAAAAGAAAGAGGAGAAAAAAATGAAACATCGAATTCGTTTCTAATATTTCGTATCCCGCGGATGCTCGGTCGACCGAGCCGCGCGCGAATAATGAACGCGCGTATCCTAAAAAAATGCTCCCTTTCATGGGAACGAATCTTGCGTAAAAATGGCCGACGCGCGTTTCGGGCCGACGCAAATATTATTCGAAAGAATTAAACCTCGTGAGCGGGTTTCGGCGCAATAAAAACGGTCGACCGTGCCGAATCCAATATCTCGATTCCTACGAGGCCGAGAACAAATCGCTCACAAAATGGCGGACGCGAGCCGGTCGGCCGAGGCATTTAAAACATTCGAACGAATCGGATTTTCACTGAATTCTGATGTATCCTATCGACGGAGGCGGCGAATATGCTTCGGTGAACGTAGATTGAACTGATATAAGTTCGTCGATGCGTACATTTTTGTTTTTTACAAGCTGCATGCGATAACCGTATCCACTCGCCGGATCACGCGACGTTCCTTTTAAAATGAAACGCGGCGGAAGATAAGGAAGAAACTTGTCCCGCGAACAATAAAGTGGATATTTAGAGAACTCGTCATGCTACACGCAGAGAAGCTTGATTCAACCTTCACCAAAACTCGTTACAAGTTTCACGGTGTCTCATGTTCCGGCTAGTAGACTTTCGGGGTTTTCTCTGTTTCTGCGATTGCTTCCGAAGACTGGAAAGAGAAACAGGAAATACGAGTGGTTCGGCGAGACCATTCATTTTTTACTGTCAGCAATCGAAAGTTAGATGGATTTCAGTCGTAAAGCAACGAATAAATTGTAAGCGTCATAAACATCTAATTCTCCGAAACCGAAACCCATAGCGCGAGACCAGTAGTTGATATTTACTCTCGGAACACCAGCGTGCGAATCTTCTCGGTTTTATACGCGTCCATAGCTGGAACCGCGAGCTGGTCGACGATCCTGCGGTTTAATCTCTCGTTTCACGCGGACACGACAGAAAAAGCAACGAAAAGCCACGCGAATACCATGAAAAACTCGAGATAATCCATCTTCTCCGCGAAAAAACCGGGAAAATAGGTTCTTTTCTGTTCGGAACATTGTGATCCGCAGGTTTAATGGCACGAATGGCGAAATCGCACGAGAATTTGACGCGAAAACCGTCTTGACAGCGGAGGATTTCTCCGCGTCTGGCTAATTGGTAATTCATCACGGGGGCGGATATTAAGCTGGGCGGCGCTTCATTTATTTACACCGCGATTCGTTTAGGTCCGAGTTGATTAAAGTTATTTTCAAGGATGTGGAGCGTTCGCAGCGTCACAATGAGCTCGCACGGCGCGCTCCCTGTCGTCGACGAATAACTTGTTTAACGTGCGAGCAGTTAAACCAATTCCGGTTAAGTGTCGGCCGCGCGCGCGGGAGTAATGGCGGACGCGTTCGCGCGACATCTCCCTTGATTCCGCTCGTCCTTTTCTTCGCCGTCGCGTTCCTCGCGGAACGATGAACACGGTGCTAATATTATTTCACTGTTCATTCGTCAGTGTTGAATGTTATTATTTCTACATCGGGTGCTCCTCGTTCCCCGGCGAAGCTTAAAGAAGCTCAAGCTTCCATTTTGCCGTTGCATTGTTGACGCTGATGAAGAACTGTCAATTCGTCCTTTAACCCTTTGCACTCGAAAGTTTTCCAATAAATATTTCAACGTTTTCTGATGAGATGAAGACGATATTTTGTGAGACTAACTCGAAGAGAAATTACGCGTACGTTGAGGAACAAAGGTATTTGGTTTCAATATTTTTTAAATTGAGTTGTGCAAGATATAATATTAAATATCAGATTTTATAGTTTTGCGCTCGGACGTGTTTCGCTAAAAATATTTTAACATAGTCTTTATCTCATCAGAAAATGTTAAAATATTTTATGTTAAAACATCGTCTTTATCTCGTCAGAAAATATTTTGTGAAACTAACTCTAAGAGAAATAACACGTACGTTGAGGAACAAAGCTACTTTGTTTCAATATTTTTTAAATTCACGAGTTGTGCAAGATATGATATTAAATATAAAATTTTATAGTTCTGCGCTCGGAAGTGTCTCACTAAAAATATTTTAACATCGTCTTTGTCTCATCAGAAAATGTTAAAACATCGTCTTTATTTCGTCAGAAAATATTTTGTGAAACTAACTCGAAGAGAAATAACACGTACCTTGACGAACAAAGCTACTTTGTTTCAATATTTTCTACATTGACGAGTCGTACAACGTAAATACTAAATATCAAATTTTATAGTTTTACTGTATGAAATCAGGCGGTGAGTGGGAGTCACCTCTCGAGTGCAAAGGGTTAATTTACCCGGAGCGAAATGAAATCTCTCGAGTGGTCGCGCGGAACTCTGTACAGCTGAATATTATCGCAAATCCGGTAAATCCGAGTTTTTCCTCGCGCGAGATTGGAAGCGGAAATACGCGGATCTAATATATTATATATTCATCGCGAATAATGTGTTAAGCTTATTAAAGCTCAAAACGGATGCGCGGCCGTTACATTCGTAACTATCAGCCGATTAAACATTTTATCCCGCGGCGTGGGTCGCGTCCGTCAATTTTTCGCGTCGCGGAAATCCAGTTTCGCGGTTTCGGGCGAGCAAAAGCTAATTCCGAATAACAACACGGGCGCATTATTTACCGCGGCGAACTGCTCTTGATTTAGGTAACTGCGGCAACTAAAATATTCCCGGCCGCGATCGCTCCGCAAACTCGGGGCGTTCTTTCTTAAGCACATGGTTTGTAATTTAATCTGCGCGTATTTAATTCCGCGATGCTAAGAGAACTTCGATGAAATAGCAGATGTGTTCCATCCTTGTAGCTACAGTGGCGTAACAATATTTCATATTTCGTTCGAAAGTTTCGCGTAAAGCTACCGGCGTTTAAGCGTTCGCAAGAAAGTAAATAACAATTAATCAAACTTCCTCCAATATCGAGAGGAATAAACTAATCTGGAAGTTCAGCGTTACTCTGTCAAACTTCTTCGCCCATCTAGAGCCCGCTGAAATCTGCATTACCTTAAAATAGCGCGCGGAAAATTAATTTCGAACTCCGCGGAAGCAATTTCGTCACTCTCGCGTGGCGAGCGGAGCGTTGACGCAACGAGCCTAGGGAAATTTACACGAGTGTCCCGATGGAATCAGAAAATAAAACGTTTGTTCCAGCTGGAGGCGTGCGGCCGACTTCTGTGCTGCGTGCAGAGGCTCTGCAAGAGCGAAAGTAGAGTCGAAGAGGCCGAGCATCGGATCCCCCGGGGTCGAAGGGGCGCACAGGCGGGCCCCGAGCTGGAGGGGCCCTCAGGCTCGGAGGATGGCATCCTCCCGGTACCAGTCAGCCCGACTCCTGCGTCCACCTCCTCGCAGGAGGACGCCTGCAAGCCTCCACCGAAGAACTGCTACCGTCTCGTCATGCTTGGTAGCGCGAGGGTCGGCAAAACCGCCATTGTAACACGGTGAGTCCATTAATTGGTAGATTGCGGGTTCTTCTTGTTGAGAGTGAATATGAAGTATATTTTTAATGGCTACAAAGTATCCGTTGGTGCACTCCTCTCCTCGCAGAAGTCAGTTGTTTTTCTGACAGCCATTCTTATTGCACGCGCTGAGCGTCTTTTTCTCCTCAACCGTTGAACAGCATTCCGTTTTTTAGTTTTTGTAAATCACCGTAATATATACTTTAATAAATATACACTTATGTAGTATCTAGAATTTTTAGCGTAGGTTAAGGCATTTTTAAGAAGAGTGAATGTAAGAATGAGAGTGAGTGAAGGATAGGCTGTAAAACGGTCGAGGGAAAGTGGCCTGCGCAACGTCGCGGACCCAAGATTGCAGGGCCAGCTTTCCAGGGGTGCATCCGAGTGTTTGCGACGAGTGCCAGTGAGAAGGATGCTTGTGGGGGAGAGAATGATTTTTGGGAGAGAATGCTTGTAAGAGAGTTGCGGGAAGAGAGTCGTGTGTTGGCCTCCGTGGCATTGAGTTGTACTTTTTACGTGTTTTCCGTGTTGTTTCCATATTTTATTAAATACATATATTTATTCCTAGCTCTCGATTACTCGAGATCCACCTTTTCATTATCTACACTATAGTAACACTATACTTAGTTTTTCAAACCGTGTTGTGTTTATTTTTGCAAATAAATATTCAACACTTCTGAATTCCTGGGAAATCCGACAGTAAAGAATTGCTCAGAAGGCACGCGGTGCTAGAAAATATACAGAATATCCAAAAGTGTAGTATCGTTGTTTTAAGAGAGTGGGACAGCGAGTGTTCTGAGGACCAGAAAAGGGAAAGGGACTTATGGAGACCAGGCTCAAGGGTTGGTGGGTTTTCCCGAGGGATGCGTAAGCAAGGATGATGAGTGCGTGGTGAGAGTAGGGTGTGTTTGAGAATTTGTTGGAAGTGTGAGTCAGAAGAATGCTTGTTGGAGAGAATGATTTTTAAGTGCGGATGGCGAGAGATTTGCAGAGAGTTGCGTTGACCTGAGAAGAGAAAAGACCTGTACACTGCGAGCTATATCGTTTCTATTTATTTGTATTCTATTCAATTATCTATTCCTATGTTTTTTAAAAATAAAATGTATTTAAATACTATTAATACCACATAATGTTGTGTTAATTCATTAATATTCTATTAGAATTCGATCAACGTGTAATCTGATTTTTGTCGGATCTGATACGTGTGTTCATTAGTTGATTGAATTTCAGTGGATCAGAGAAATTGGAATTGGTTATTGATTATCTTATAATAAATAGAATTAATTGTTCAGTACCTTTTGTTAGAGAAACGGGTATTGAATATTGATTATCTTGCGTCAGCAAAATCAGAACCGAAGAAAAACCTGTACACTGCGATTTATATCGTTTCTATTTGTATTTTATTCAATTATCTGTTCCTACGCTTTTTTAAAATAAAGCATATTTAAATTCCATTTATACCACGAAAGTGTAGTAGGTTTAACATTAGAACTACTGTACCAATAAAAATTACTAGTTTCGATTTTCTTGTTTAGCAATTATTGATATCTTCGAAGCATCGAATATTCGAAATGATTTTGAAAATAAACAGTTTCACTAGAGTACTAGAATGAATGTCCGAAGAAACTGAAAATAATTATTGTTACAATTGTAGTATCTAGAATTATTTAGCGTAGGTTAAAGTATTGTAGGATGAATGGTTTGTTGTGCGTGCGTAAGGGGGAATATGGACATTAACATGTCCTTAGAAATATGAATTAACACGAAGATCCGCATAAAGAACTCTATCAATCGAAAATTGAGTCCTCTATTGATGAATTCTGAATATTACATCATTCTCATGTATAACAGATTGATAGTGAACATATCAAGCACAAAAAGGAACGTTAATTTTGCAAAGGACTCTTGTTATGCAATTTCGATAGCTGTCAACAGCCCCAATCTGCGTGTCCGCGTTTCCTTCGGAAGATTCTCGAAATCCGAATTGAACCGCAGCTTTTCAGTGGCAGTGCTTAACGAGTTTAACGAAGTCAGCAGCACGAAGTGCGCTCGCCGTGTTGACGGATTAAATATCTTGATTACTGTTGATTCCATTTGAGGATAACTGCCGCTCGGCATGCACATTACGCCGGAGAGAGGGCAGCCGAACCGTTTCGCAGCATCGCAGCCAGCTCCATTAAGGTTCCCTGACCAATTATAACTGTGGTCGATGATCAGTGATCTCTGACGTCAACACGGAGGCGCACGGTCATGCAGCGTCGACCACCTGATGGAACTAAATACGTTTCTCCGATACAACGCGGCAAGCGCTGAAAGGTTTCGAATTCCACTGGCTGCAGACAATTACTGCGACACCCGAAATTGTAATATGTACTCAAGCCTAAATTGCCGGAACACCTTCCGACCACTGTTAGAAATTTATTAACCGGAATCCCGTGTATCCACCCTTTCGCGAATATGACCGACTTCTAATTAGAGGGACGTATCGAAATAATTAACCCATTAACCCTTCGCAGACGAAGATTCTTCGAAATGTACGAAACCTCCAGCAGATTAAGTTAAATTATCGATTGCTTAAATAATAGGAAGAGAGTAAACTATACACTCTCTTGCCGTTTGAGTAATTGAATCATTTGTTCGCGACTTTCCCAAATATGGACATTTGATCGCCGAAATGCGACATTCGTCCGCAAAGGGTTAATTTATCGAAGTTCGCACGTTGCGTTGAACGGGTATCGATATAATTAATCTCTTTTCATTATTACAATAGAGAAACTTGTTTAGCCAATTAAGGGGAAATGTTTGGTTTCGAGAAACCGTGAAAGGAACGACGAAGCTGCGAGTGAATTATTCATTAATCAGCGACAACAGAGTTAAAGAACCACGTGCCATTGTCTACGAACTTCACCAGTATCCACCGAGTTGCCATCCACAAATATTCATTAACCGCATTCAGCGATTCGACTCTGAATCGCACTCGTTAATTCCAGTCGAGCTGCAAAGTTTAAGCTAGTTCTCAAGTGTGAAACACGTCTCTGTTTCGAAGTTGGTGCGCTCGCCACAATGGTATCCTGGAAACAATGGATCCGCGCAGAATGCGCTGCTCCCCGGGGACGGGTTGATATTTTTCTTCCGACCCCGGGAATACGTGATTCGACTTTTCCCTTGGGCAGCAACATTGCTGATGCCAACGACCCCTAGATTACTTTAACCCTTCGCGCGCAGGGGCGCGCAGACGAGACTGAGATCATTTAAATGGCCGTATTTGCATAACTACATTGCCAATAGATGCACGGGGAACACATGCACTTTGTACGATTCGCATTTGCGTGAACATATCCTCGAAAAGCGGACGGGAAACACGTGAATTCCGGTTCACGTTCGATGTCAACCCTTAGCAGATGATTTTGTAATCTACTAACTCCAAGCCGTTTTTATTCTTTGGTACACAAAAAATAAACTACAAAGAGACAGATAGATTATACAGAAAAGTCGTAGGAGGCCAGAAATCGGATGGTATTTCTAAAAGTAACAAGGGAGGAAGAAACATTGAGAGAACAGTAAAATCTATTGACTTTTATAAAAATTCTATTTAGACAATTGACCGTAAACCGTCCTATGAGCTTCAGTACGCAATATTAGACGGTGTCTCAGAGATGACCGAGATGTATTTAAATAAAATTTGGATAAGATCTCAGGACAGCCAGAGAGACCATTTAATATTTTATAGTATCCCTACAAGAAATGAAAAATGTGATATTGTAAGATCTCTTAGATTTCTTTGTCTTCCTTCTTAATAGAAAATTTGGATGTATAGAAGATCCAGTAATCCTAGGGTAGTTCTAAATTTGTTCATTAAAATATTTAATAGTGTAAACGGTGTCATAGTGGAGCCTACGGAGTGCAAAGGGTTAATATTTGATTTAAAATCAACGAGGACTGTTCGGTAATCCCAGAAATCGAGAAAGTTAACGAGAACCCCCGCCGTCCATTTATTCGCTATAATTACTTAAATCCCCTTTCTTACGGTAAAGCGGCGAGGGTTTTCGACATAAAGGCTCCGCTAATTAGTTGAACGTGTTGCTTGAATGAAATTGTTCCCGGTGCTCCGGAAATTGTCGTCTACAGATAGTTTCAAAAGCAACGTCGCTCCAGAAAACAATTCAGACAGCATAAAGGTGGAAGAATAATTCGATTAAACGTACCCATAAAACGCTATTAACCCTTTGCGGACGAACGTCGACATTTCGGCGAGATGGAAATTTCATATTTGGAGCGCTAAGGTGCAAACGGATGATTTAATTACTCGAACAGCGAGAAGTCAGTGCGTAGTTTCCTTTTCGCAATTATCTAAGCGATCGATGTATAATTTTCATCTGCTGACCGTTTTCTGCACTTCGAGGAACCTTCCTCCGTGAACGGTTAATTACGGTACCGATAATCTCTGCAATAAAACTGTACAGGTCGTTTCAATATAAAAGAAATCAAACGACTTTAGGAGTTACTTCAAAGACCGCGTATTTGGGAACAATCTTCGCGTGGAGCAGAGAATGCGGAGCACGTAGAACGAAACAATTTTCGAACCCTTTCAGAAACCGCTGCCGAAATATACGAACAAAAATCCCCGAAAGGAGAATAAATAGGATTTCCGGCGCACGTGAGAATGCGGGACGCTGGGAAACGGCAAAATCGTTTCGCTGTAAAAAAAATAGAGACACTTTTTAGTTTTAACCGCAATCCCCCGCCATTTCTATTTCCGTTTTAAAAAAAAAGTGCACGCCCCGGAGGGCGCTTCTGGCCGTCGAATCGAAAATGCGGCCGGACGATCCGTTCCGTCGGCCGAGACAGAATGATTATTCGAACTCGAGCGAACGGAGTTCGAGACTAATTGCTGAACGTAATACCCGAAATGCGAGTCCCGGTGAAAACCACCTGTTTCTTTGGTTCCCCTCGAAATGTTGATTGCCGCGTTCCATCGGCTA